CTCCGCCGGCCGGTGGGCTGGAGGGTCGTCCTCCTCTCCCAGCAGCGATGGAAGATTCATGGGTCTGTGTGCGGGCTCCCGGGAGCTACTGCCAGCAGTGACAGGGCTGTGGCCTGTCTCAGCCCCTCTCATCACAACACGGTGGTGGCCAAGACAAGCTGGTCCCATTGGCTCTGGCTGTCGGCCTCGCACGGCGGCGCGAAAGGCACCGCTCTGCCAGGCCAAATATAGCGTCCTGCCTTGGCCCGGAGCAGGGGAGCTGGAGGGGAGCTGCGGCCGTGGTGAGGACCCTCCTGCGCAGGGTGGGAGGTGGGCTCTGCTGGGATGGGGCAGCCCATGGAGCAGAGCAAAGCTTCCTCCTCTCCCCAGGCTCCCATCCCAAAACTACTGGGACTGAGCAGGGCAGAGTCTGCCACATCCTCCCTGCAGCTGGGCAGAGGCTGCTGAGGTCGGGGTCCAGGGCTGTTGCAAGCTCTTTTGTGTCACATCTTTTCATTCCCAGCCCACAGGCAACCAGGAGAGCTGTGGGGTGGCCAGGAGGTGCCGTGTACCTGCCATACGTGCCGCTTGCCTCCAATGTGCCACTCGTCTCCAACGTGCCACACGGCAGAGGCGGTGGCTTCGCTGCTGTCACACAGCTGCAGGTAAGAACCTGGGTGCAGTCCCCAGGGCAGGGGTGGGCAGGAGTCCCAGGGCATTTCCATTAAGACCTGTGGCAGTTCCTTGATGGCTCTGCAAGGTTGTGCACAGCCCCACCCTCTCCCGTGCAGCTCAATGATGATGTGGGAGCAACCAAGGTGCACAAACCTTGCTTGTGTCCCCAAGGGGAGCAGCGTGCTCTGTGAACCCACCTAAAACAAGTCCCCAGCTGCTGCTGCCCCCAGAGCCAGCCCCAAGCTGCAGAGCCATGCCCTGTGCGAGCACATCGTGCCGCTCACACCGGGCGCACTTCTCCTCTAACAGCTTAGTCCTGCCAACGACCCAGGTTATGCTCACAGCCCATTAACAGCCCAACATTTACTCAGAAAACTTTATTGTATCAAAATCCCACCTTATAAAAGTGCAAAGAAGAGTAGCTTTAGGCCCTGTGCCTGCCCCACAGCAGGGAGAGCAGGGTCAGCAGCCAGCACCCAACAACCTGGCCGCAGTCCGAGGAGTCACCCGGCTTCCAAATTAAAAATCAGCCTTGTTCTGCGCTGCCGCAGCGGTAACAAGTGGGCTCTGCCACGCCGAGATGCTGGCACAGACTGGTGTGTAAGGAAATGTGCTGTGGGCAGCAAAAGCCCCTGCCGTTAGCAACCAAGATGGATAAATGCCCCCAGGGATGACAGAGCAGATCAGCAGCACAAGGTCCCTGTCTCCTTCCTGGGCCAGTCCCAAGATACGCTCCTGCCTATCCCAAGTGACATCCCGGGGCAGTGCAGGAGAGGAACCAGCTCTCAAGTGCATTCTTCCCAGGTGCCACATCCTCACCCCTTTAAGAACTCTGCATGTGGGATAAAACATTGTGAGTTAACCAGAAACCGAGCAAAGTGACTCTTCACAAGGAGCTGAGGAAAACCATCCTCCTCCTGGGACTTTCCCATGTGCTCTCCTGCTCTGTGCACAGCTCCCCAGTGTCACTGGTTCTAGACATTGCAAGTCAGGAGCCGGACCAGTATGCCCACCAGCAGGACAGCGATGGCCGTGGCAGCAGCCAGCACACGGCGGATGATCAGGGACCTCCATAGCACCGCGGGAGGAGAGGGGATGACAACAGGCTCCTCCTGTATGATGGGCTGCTGGTCAGGTTGCCTGTCATCTCCCACGATGCTCTCAGGCAGGACCACAGTGTCTATGGTGTCTGTGTCAACAGAGATGTAATCTGTGCAACAGAGAGGTGAGTGCTGCAGGGAAGCCAAACTTTTCGGTCCCCATCCCTGGAGGTATTTCAGAGCCATGTAGATGAGGAGCTTAGGGACATGGTTTAGTGGTGGGCTTGGCAGTGTTAGGTTTATGGGTGGGCTCAATGACCCGAAAGGGCTTTTCCAACCAAAATGATTTTATGATTCTAAACTCAAGGGAGCCCATCCTGATGCTGAACAAGCACTAGTGATGGTCCTGAGGGCCCTTTCCCAAGGCTCAGGGACACTGGGACATGCCACAGCCAAGTGGCAGGTGTTCCCAGGCAAGGCAGACACTGGCCAGCAGTCCAGGCTCTTCCCTGGAGCAGCCAAGGTGGTAACAGGGGTAATGGGGTGTCTTGTACCCCATTACTAATTACAGGAGAAGTGCTACTGGCCTGGGACCAGCACCAGACACTGTGCTCTTTCCAGCTATCTGGACAGACATGGCTGCTGGGAATGTGAAGGAAAGGAAGGGTTGGGTGGAGAATCTGGGCTCCCTCCCTGTTGTCAGGCCTGGCTACATACCCACAGCAGATGTTTTGTTAGCAGCTGTGCTATTGGAGTTCACATCTTCCAGTTGTTTTTTCAGTCCAGCTCGAACTTGAGCCTAAAAACACATGGAAGAGTCGCCCTTGTCAGAGCAAGGGTGTCCTGCCCTGCCAAGCAAACTTGAGCCTCCTCCCTCTGCTCTCCCAAAGCAAGCATGATCTGCACCAAACTGCTCCTCTGCTACAGGAGAGGGACAGATCCTGTCTCGCTTTTGCCTCCTCTCAGAGGGCTGTGGCATTGTACTGGGACAGGAACTCACCCAACACCTTTTAAGAGTTACTAGAGAGAGCACAAGTCTCACCTCTTCTGCAGCTTTCTTCCAATCCATGCGCATGACAAAAGCGGAGAAAGAAAGGGCTTGCACAGAGATGCAGATGATCATCCCCACCCACAGACCTGCAGGATGGAGAGATACTTCAGGGAGGGCTTGAGGAAAGCCTGCTTTTGCCAGCCACTGCCAAAATACCCCAGGGACGTCCCTGGGGTCAGGTTATTGCCCCATGTTTAACCCAGTCCTGATGGGAGAGCTGCCCAGCCAGGGGAAACAGCTCCTGGGAGGGTCCTATGCTGGGGGCAAGCCTGGATTTAATGGGACATCTCAGCCCCCATTTGATGGGGGTTACTCAGAGCCTGCATCAGATAAACGCTTCAGTGTGCAACCCAGCCCCACCAAGCCAAAGCAGGATGTGAGCACAAGTTCCAGGGCTGTGCCTCTGCTCAAGGCAGCTCGTGCCATGCCGAACGGAGGACACACTTACCTAACACCCCCATCTTCGCCGCAAACATCAGTGAGACGCCGATGGGCAGGCCGATGGCGTAGTAGCCGATGGCGTTGGCGATAGCACCCATCTTCTGCTTCCCTGTGCCCTGCAGCACGCCGCCACACGTTGCCTAAGGAAAGCAGGCAGAGGGATCCATAGGTGCTATGGAAGATCCAGCACGTGCTATGGAAGGTACCACCACCACAATGCTGGGGTATGGCACTGTGCTGTGAACAGGGGACACCACAGCAACATCCTTCAGAGCCAAGAGGGACCACAGCCACATCACAGAGTGGAGCAGGGCTCCTCTCCTTCCAGCTGCTGACCCAGGCGCAGGATGGGGAGCTGTCTGCAGACCCCATCATGCTTTCCACACCGCCTAGATCCCTGCCCCAGGGACAAACGGGAGGAAACAGGCTGAAATTACTATCTAAGAAGTTGTAGGAGCACTGCTGCTGTGCTGTGAGGACCTGACAGCTCTGAAGACCCATCTGCTCACTTGTGTTGCTCTGACAAGGTAGGAAAAAGCTGAAGCCTCGCCGGGGGAAAAGAGGGGGAATGATCTGGGTTGTTCTGCAGCAACTGCAAGCAGGGAACCCCGAGGTGCTGTAGGTAATGCAAGTGGCTGCTCTGACAGCTTATCAGGTTGCTTCTCTGGATCAGTTTAGCAGATCAAGAGTGAGCTAGAGGAGCTTTGTGCTCTCCATCACACCCCAACCTGCAGAGAGGAATCACTCCACGTGCTGGAATACTCACTGCTGCTGCATTAAACAAGTAGAACGGAGCAAAGATGATCATCACTTTGGACACCAAGGTAGCGATCTCCCTGTTGGGAAGATGTACATACTGGTCAAGGAAAGCAGCACAGCCTGGTCCCAAGGGACTCTGGTTCTCACATATTTCCCTCAGCAGCTGCAAAGCCTGATCCCAGCCCATGAGACTTGAAGGGATGCATGGAGCTTGGGTACCACCATAGCATCCCAGTGTCAGCAGCATTTGTGCTGTCCAGTAACACCAGGCAGTGGAGAGGAACCTTTGGGGAACATGGTTGCCAGATGGAGGTTTCTGAACTCTCTCTGTCAGCAGCTCCTGGGATATAAATCACACCCTCCAAGAAGGTGGTAATACTCAAAAGAAAGCTCTGAACCTACCTGTCATTGGTGAAGATGTATCCCACCACATCCTTTAGGGTTCCTAGTAGTATTGCAATCACCACAGCAAAAACTTCTGGAAGAAAAAGAAACAGGGGGATTGCTTGCCTGAAGGGCAGCATGTCCTGCTCCTTTATTCCCCTCTGCAGGACCTGGGCTGACCTGTGCACAGCAGGGCAGTCAGGCAGGAGGTCTTGGCTTGCACCGCATCCCCCGATCCCAAGGCATTGCCCACTCTGACACTCGCAGCCACGCTGAAGCCCAGCGGTACCTGAGTAGCAGGAGACAAGGAGGAGGTGAGTGGCAATAGTCTGCAGCAATTTTCTTCTTCCCCAGCAGGAAACTTGGGACAAATTGGCATTGCTGCAACAATGGGATGTTCCATCTGCAGCCCACCCCTGGATGTGCAGCTGCACAGCAGGCCTGACAGTCATCACCCGCCTGGTACCTCCTGCTTCCCTCCCCAGCCTTGATCTGCAGGGACATTGTTTGGGAGCTCCTCCCAGGCTGATCTTGGTTTAATCCACCCAGCCCTTACCATGTACACTGCAGAGGAGAGCTCGTAGATGACAGACTGCGCTCCCAGCTCCACCACACTGAGCAGCCCTGGAAGAAGATTCATCAGTTCCTTCGTTAGGTCAGAATTAAACTCCTCCTTTGCTGACAAGGAGATGGTGACTACAGAGCTCCCATCTAACAGATGCAGCATCCTGCAGCACCCACCCTGCAGGTGAGGAGGCTGCTGGCAGGAAGTGCTCTGGGGACACACTCAAGAGGCAGCCACCAGAGTAGGCACGGCTGGAAGATGGAACAGCTGAACCAGAGGAAAAAGAGGATTTGGACTCACCTGCCAAGAAGCTCCCGATCTCAAAGGTCCACCATTCAATACATATCATGAACATGCCAGGTATCGCCAGCCGGATAAAGGAATCCCAGTCCAGGAGACATTCCCTGGTCCAACCTGCAATGAGAAGGTGAAGCAGAATGATCTCCCTCGAAGGGCAGCCATCTGGACACTGAGGACAACAACCACAAGCCACAGCTCCCAGGACATCAGCATAGTCTGGCTGTACCATGGTGCATTTCTGAGCCAGGGTGACCAACAAGAATGTACTGGGGGTGACAGTAAGGGTCTTGGGGTCACGGCTACAGCATCTACCCACTGTGAGGGGATGGTAATGCCTTTGTCAGATCTACACCGTGAGTGCTGGTGACAGTGTCAAATCCCCAAGGCCAGACACTGGTAGGTTGAAGGATTAAGCTATGAACAGTACCTCCCCAGGTCTCCACATGGATCTTCTTCCACCACACATAAAGGAAGAGGAGAATGGCCTGGGTATACTGAGAAACAGTGTTAGCCCAGGCAGAGCCCCTGGTGAGAGAGAGAGACAGGAAGATTTCAAACATCCTCCTCTACCACCTCCTCAGCTACAGCAGAAGAGACCTGGTGGCACTCATACAAGCCTTGCTGCAGGTATGAGGCAGATTCCTCCAGCCTCATCTTTCCAGGTTGGTTGTCTGGGAGCAGAGAACGGGACACCCCCAACCCCCTAGCCCTGAGCAAACTCCTGCACCCAGGGAGAGGCTGTCACCACCTCTGCTCACACTTACACCATGCCCAGCTTCAGCGCATATAGGAAGAAGGCGTTCATGGCCACATTGAGGATGTTGGCTGCAATCCCCGTCAACACCTGAGGCAAAATGATCGCCTGGAAGCCAAGGAGAGACTTTGGAGTTTGCTTCCCCAGCACTGGCCAAGCCCCCATCCAGCAAACACAAGGAAGACCTTCATCAATGCCCAAGAAGAAAGCCAAAAGGCAGCTCTTGTTTCATGTAAAGCTGGAGTGTGTTAGACATGCAGAAGGCAGCATGCAGGGCTCAAGAACTGGTGCGAGCAACTCAACACAGAGTTGGGAGGTAGCAATGGGGAAATGGAGCAAGATAAGGGTGAGTCCCATGAGTTCTCTCTGCCCTACATCACACATTCCTCAGCCTAGCTCCCCCCAGGACAAGATGAACTTAGATCCCCAACTTTACCCATGTTCCTAGGAATATCTTTAATCTACAGCCCAGAACCTGGCTAGTTATACAATACCTGACTTTGTAAATATCTCGTCTGCAGCTGGTACAGAAACACCGCCTGCAAAAGTCAGGATTCATTTCGTCAGCACCGCTGCACTATGGTTCCACAGCCAGATACCCTGCAATGCTCACAGACAGGTCCTTCCCTCAGTTCCTCCCACCACCTTCTCAGGGTGCTCCAGCCGGGCACGCTGCCCAACACCCTGCTCCAGGGCTCTGCTTGGAGCGTGGCATCTGCCAGCACCGGCTGCACCTCCAGCAAAGACACCTCCTATTCCCACTGGGAAGAGAGAGATCAGTCTCCAAATGGGAAACCTCCCGTGCTTCCTTGTCAGCATGAGGGAGCCTGGAAATCAAGAAGCTTGGCTTACAGACACTTATTCCCCAAGGGCACTGCTCCCTGTCTGAGAGGAGTCCCTCCTGAGGGACAGTGACTAGCCGAGAGCCCAGCAGCTACAAGTGCGTGCGAACAAGCTGCAGCCTTTATCTCGGAGCTGAGAACAAGCCCTGGAGCTCCTGGTTCCAATGTCCATCGCCAGCTACTCGCTGTGCAGAGACGTGGCTGCAATAAAAGCCTTTGCACAGCAAGAGGGAAGAGGGCATGTTTGCTGGTCCACAGCTGCTGGCCAATACACATCTGTTAGGGTCCAAGATCGAAGGGGATGTTGTAAAACCCTAAACCATGCTGCCCTGTGATCCGCAGAGCAAAGACCCTCCCTCCTTTCCCTAAATGTTACTGAGGGATACAGAGCCTCTGACAGCTTCAGCAGCAACTTACAGGAAGTGCTGGAATGAAGATCATCACGTAGACCTGAGTTAACCTGGAGAGAGAGTTGTTTCCCCAGTTAATGATACACCAAAGCAAGAGCCAAGCCAAGCAGTGTTGCACTCAAGCTCTGTGGAGCCTTGATTTCAACATGACATGACAACCCAGCCCACAGCCAAATGCCAGATCCAGAAGGGCTCGATCTCCTCCCTGACCTGGAGACCTCAGGGTCCTGTCGGATGAGCAGGAGGATCCGTTCGGTGTTGATGAAGAGTGCCCAGCAAGGGAAGCAGCACAGCAGCAGGATGAGGATCCCTCGCTGTAGGATGGTGCCCACCTGCTTCAAGTTCTTGCTGCCATAGGTCTGAGTCAGGAGAGAGGACCAAGGTGAGCATTACAGGGAACCAAAGGTCGACCCAGAGCAGCAATGGGCTGATTTAATGCATTTCCCACACCCTCCAGTGGCTGGTGCTGGGCTGGTCAAGTATAACCAGCTCTCAGGTGCTTGCACATCCCTTCGCTCCCA